GGCAGCGGTGGGATACGACTATTAGTCAGTATCCGTTACCACGAGTAAAAGAAATTACGCAATAATTTTATTCTCGTATAATTGTGTGATCGTTTAATCATCAACAACTTCAAAACATTAAAAGGCTCGTCAGAACATTCACAAACTACAGAACATCTACGGAATATTTCAAGTAATATAATTCAATATCACATATAAGGTAACGCGTCGTATTAAACGGGTAAGCACAGCGTGAGAAAGGGTAGCGTCAGCGATTTAACGCATTCCCCGCACTCGCCGCCAGCACAATAGACATTATTGTGCAGCCGCCGCCCGAATAGCCGTCGGTACGTCATCGCTCGTAGCTGGTGCCACTGCACCGCGCCGTGGGCACGAACAACTGGTTGCGTGTGGAGGTAACGCTCCCTAGTAGTGCAAACGAGAGTTACCGCGATTCAAGCGCCACACAGTGCTTAACGGACATTCGATCGAGCCACCGTGAAGAAAGTAGGTCGTGACCGTGAAATCGCCGCCGCCGCGAAGAAATCGGGTCGTGACCGTGAAATTGCTGCCGTCATAGCGTACGCAGTGGCGTATTTAGGGGGGGTGCGAGAGGGGGCAATCGCCCCGGGCATCAAATTTCAAGGGGCATCATTTTTTTAATTTAAAATGCTAATAATTATAGTGTTTCATGATAAGTTATTTGTGCTTACTGCCTCAATTATTATAATTTATAAAGATAATAATGATAATACTCAACCGAACACGCGGAATTTCAGAAATAAAAATTGGTTATTTATAAAACACGATAGCGGTTGTATTGTATAATAGGTAGTATGTATTATATAGTTGTAAGACTTGTATGTATAGTTGTAGCGATGACTTTATCTGTGATGTATATTGTACATATCAGGAAATTCAGAGACACCCCGAAACCCGTCAGTTCTCAGTCGTCAATAATAACTATTTTTACTTCGTCGGTGGGCCGCGGGCGGCGTATATGTACTAACTATTATGGCGACTATTAAAATAAATATTAATTACGCTGCGTTTGCTCTGACTAGTACGTCCGTGCTTCGTGATATAGTTTAATAATTTATTAATAATAAAGCGTTCCATTCAGTGTTGCCAGGTTTTGATAATAATATTATCGCATACTGTCTTCAAAATTATCATATTTTTTAACAAATTATCGTACATAAAAATTTTTGTTTGTACCATGAAAATAAGAAATTCACACAACACACGTTTTAAAATAGGTAGGTAAGTCGGTATTACTACTCTACTTTAGGCATTTTGTTATTATTACTCTGAATTTTTAACAACAATTAAATTCTTTCACCTTGAAATCTTAAATTTAATTATTTTAAGTTATTATTCTTAATTTAATTTTTATACCTACAGAAAAACACAAATGACCAAAATAACATATTTTTATTAACAAATAACTGTTCATTAAAATATTAATTAATAATAATACAACAAAAGAATTAACTTTTTAGGAAAAAATATAATTTTAAAATTAACAAAGGTACACTTGATTTAAATTATGTTGGCATATAAAATAAAAAATAACATGATATTAAATAATATAATATTTTCAATAACAAACAACTGTTCATTAAAATATTAATTAATGATAATACAACAACAGAATTAACTTTTTAGGAAAAAATATAATTTTAAAATTAACAAAGGTACACATGAATTAAATTATGTTAGTGTATAAAATAAAAATTAACACATATTATTATTTATGAATGAAACAAAGCACTCGGATCAATGAAATCTTCATTCAAATTTTGTTTGGTATATAAATTATTTGTATTCATTAATTTTAACATTTGTTTTGGTGGTTTAAATGTAACACTTGTATTTTTATTGATTTTTGTACCGTACTGTCCATACTGGATACCTTCACTTGCCATAAGTATACTATAAACAGTTTTTTGAATGAGCTTATTTCTACCTTTAGTCTTAGTTCTATTTATTTTGCTAAATATGCGCTCACAATCAGCGTTTGAGTGAGGTAAAGAGAGAACAGAAAGTGCAAATTGAGCCAAGTCACTAAATATAGTAGTATCGCTGTCATCTTTAAATAATAATAATGAAGACCAAAAATGGTCTGTTTCTTCAACTTCGGTGATATATTTAGGAAAATCATAAGTTACTAATAGTCGCCATTGGTCATCTAAAACTTGAATTTGGTCTTCTAAATTTGGATCAATAATCCTTGGCAAGTTAGAAATTAGTTTTAAAAGTGATGGTACTTTTTCATGAGTAGCATATGCCAATGCATTTGTAGGACTGAAGATGTAAAGGTGAGGTAGTATTTTATCAGAAAAATCATACCTTTTTTTTATTTGAATACAACCTTCTACAAGGAAATTTGAACATCGCTCATAAAAGTCGGATAACAGATCTGGCTTTTTGGTGATCTCCGGTTTACTGATGAAATTAATCACTTTAACACCTTTATAAAATAAAAATGATCAATAAGTTTAAGTATAATGTGTAATTTTATATTTCTTACCTAAATATATATCCTTAGATTGAAGATAATATTTTCTATCAGTTATATTTATTTCTTCTGGAGGTGTGTGCATAATGTAAGAGCTTTGCATGAAACATAGTAGCAAATCTTTATAAGCAGCCATTATTCTTTCATGTAATTTATCCAATATGACTTTTTCAGATTGAAAATATTTATTTAGTAATGTGAATTTAGGCAAAACCCATTCCATAAATAGATAAAAAGCTTTTGTAAATGGGTCATTTAGTTGCTCACAAATAATTCTAGTTGATGCTAATTTTTCACTCAACCATTTGTCATTAAAGAATAATCTAAGTGCATCCCATTGTTCTATGATTCTATTAACTACAGATGTTAATGATAACCATCTTGTAGCTGAAGGATGCAATATTTTATGGTCTTGTAAGTCAAGAAATGACTGAAATTGATACAATTGGCTTTGCCGTTTTGAGCTATGACTGAAAAAGTTATAAATTTGACGAACCAAGTCTTCACATCTTGTAGGTAATTTTTTGCAGGCTTCACTACATGCAAGATGTAAACTATGACATATACATTTCATTAAATATACACCAGGAAAATTTAATTTAATTTTTTGTGATACGGAGTTATGAGCTCCAAACATAGTATTGCAACTGTCCGAACCAAATCCGATTATATTTCTAAGTGGTATGGTATGTTGAGTAAATGTTTTAATACATGTATCAAATAAATTTTGTGCAGTTGCTCCTTTATCTTCAGAGTTGGTTTTGTCGTGTAATTGAACTAAGTCCCAAAAACGACTAACAATTTCATTTTGACTAGGACAGTAAAACCTCACAATTATACACATGGTAGACGAACAGGAAATATCAGTAGACTCATCTATCATCACAGAGAATTTTGTATTTTTTAAAGTATCTACTAAACTATTTTTGGTAAATGGTGAAATAACATTAGTAACAACAGCAGTAGCTTTAGTTCGCTTAAGTTTAATGTTTTGACATATTTGTGAATCGGGAAAAATACTTTTAAGTAGACTGTCGAGATGTTCCGTGGCATTAAAAGCAATATTATGCTCTACTAAAAATGCGCACAATTTAATTTCAGCCGATTTTACATTATCATCTAATAATGTAGATTCATTTGATAAAAATGATTCTTTAATAGTATTTTTAGTATCTCTAATATTTTGTTTATGTTTTTTTCCCTGGCTATGATTTTTTATAACTGTTAGTTCGGATGTCATAATAACATTGCATTTTGAACAACAAGCTTTATACTCATCACTATCAGGTCTTAACCAATTTTTGAATTCTGGTTTAGTTACCCAACTCTTTTTAAATTTTTGTTTTTGATGCTTTCCTTTTTCTGCTCTTTTCAGTTCACCACGAATCGATCTTTTATACTTCGGATTAGTACATCTAGCATTTTCTTCTTCCTCGTCAGAAATTGGAGTTGAATTATTTAAAATCTAAAAAATTTAAAAGTTTTAATTTAAAAAATAAATATTCTAAAATTGTTGAAAATAGTTTTCATACTTGCTGAATTTCCAAAGTTTGGTCTTCATCTGAACTTTCGATGACCATAAGAAATCTATCCATGTTCAAAATCAAAACTCAATAAAATAATTAACAAAATTTAATAACGTCAGTTACTGTACGAGTACGCTAAACACACACAAGTCCACAGTGCAACACAGTAAAACAGACAGTAGACACGCGTTTTAATGATATAAATTATAAACCAACTAGTCCAACTATGTAGGTATTTAATACTTTTATATATATTTATTTATATAAAGTACCAATAGCGAATAACGATAGTGTTTATACCGTTTATGGTCTATGTTATCGTTATTTTATCAATATACTATATAGTGTTAAAGTGTAACCCAAATACTTGTAACCATAGACAATTATGAAAATATCTGTCTGGGAATAAAGTCTGGGAATTATTATTTTTATTTTAAGAATTTGAAAATTATCGTATTTTTGCGTACGATACTGAAGTTGCTATCGTACATCGTATTTGACCTAAAATTATCGTACAAATACGATATATATCGTACGACTGGCAACACATTATACTAAATAAAACCATTATACTAAAGCCTACATTTTTTATTCTTTTGGGCTTTGGCGTTCACAATATTCTGTGCAATCACTGCAATCTACTTAACATTTATATGCGGTATGTATTTTTAAATTATTTTGTTCCTGTCAATATAAAATGTGTTATTGGCAATATAATTTGTAAAATATAATTGTTAAATGCTTAATGCTTCTTGCTTTTAATTTCGTTAAATTGCTACTGGTATTCAGATGGTTAAAACCAGTAGAACGCAGCCTAGTGGTTCTAGTAATCGCAAGAAAGCAAAAAATAAAAAAAATTGAAATTGCAAATGTTATGGCAAAAGTTCCTTGCATAAACTCTTATTTTAAGGCTAATAACGGCAATAACGTGTTAAACAGCCCAGAAAAGACGTCAAGTATGTTATACTTTTAATATTTACTTTCATTAATTTGTGTCATTAATATTTAGTAATCAATTAATATCATAATTCATATTTTATAACACACGGTTAGTGCTGATTTTTAATTTTTTTACACCCTACATTAAATTACTTATATTATTAATATGATATTTATTATTAAAAAGATTCAAAAGATTATACTTTAAAGTTATACTATACTTATTACTTTTTTACTTTTCTTTATTCTTAGAAAATGTTTATTGCTACATAGTATAAATTAGTTTGCTTGACATATTGCAAATTTGCAAACTAATTTATATAACATTTTTTTTATGCACTATTCCCTAGTGAATATGTTATTTATATTGTTAATTTTTCATTCTGTTTATCAAAAATGTAGATAAAATATAGTATTTTCTATTTTACTAATATTATTGTACAGACAATGACATTTGTCATATTATTTGTTACATTTTTTAGTTAAATGTTTTCATTTATTTATTAAATTTAGAAGATATTGCCAATAGTCTTATTACTGCTAGTTCACAAACGGATGATTTAACTTCTAGTAACTCAAATTTATCATGTTATCGGTAAATAATTATTTTTATTCTAATTGTTTTATGCTGTTTTATCAATTGTATAACAATAACTTCATATTTTATATATTTCTTTAGGAAGAATATTAATTTGCACATTTTAAATGATGATAATTTTGTTGATGATCCATTAGTTATTGAACAAGCAAATTGTAACACTGACAATACTTCAAATAATACATTATTAGAGTAAGTTACTATTAATACTATGTGATGACATGGTCTGTTGCTAACAATATATTATTTTTTAGTACAATGCTTGTTAGTTCTGTTAACATTGATGTCAATGATGATGATCTATTTCCAACTGCAAACAATAGTTTAAATATTGACCTTCCTCTTACTTCTATTATTGGTGATGTACAAACTACTACTATTCCCAAGTAAGTTAAAGTATTTTTTTTTTTTAGCTTTTTAAGAGGTTATTAACCATCATTTTTTTTTTTTAGTAAAGATCCTGCTTTGTGGGATTTAAATGAAAATACTAGAGACTATATAACACTCAATGGTTTTGATCAAAATTTAAAAGATACAAACTTTTCTTCGTCAAAAAGGTTATGTACAAAAGTAATTCGTGGCACAAAAAAATCGTACTACAGAAGCTTCCACCAAAATTTTATCAAAACTAAACTTATAAACGGAAAAGAAGTAAATCGTAGTTATATAGTACCTATATTCTAATAGCACAGGGAAAATATATTGTGCACCGTGTCGACTATTCAACGATACCAATTCTGTCAATACTTTTGCCAATTTTGGATTTTGCAACTGGAAAAAATGTAAAGAAAAATTAAGTCAGCACGAAAATTCAATTAACCATAAAAATTGTGTTATAAAGATGAAAAATAGGAGAAATAAACTAGGACGAATTGATAGTCAACTTGTTTTACAAGTCGAGACCGAAATTAAATACTTTAAAGAAGTTCTAACCAGAATAGTAGCTGTGGTGAAATCATTAAGTTCTAGAGGACTATCATTTAGAGGTCATAATGATAAATTTGGATCAACTCATAGTGGCAATTTCATCATGTGTTTGGAACTAATAGCAGAGTTTGATCCTTTTCTAGCTAATCATATTTCAAAATTTGGAAATAAGGGTAAAGGAAGTACTTCTTATCTATCTTTTTCTGTGTATTAAAAGTTTATAGAAATGATGGGTGAGAAAGTTAAAAACACTATTATTAATGAAATAAAAAACGCCAAGTATTTTTCAATTGTGGTTGATTCAACCCCTGATATTTCACACACGGACCAACTTGTATGCATATTTAGATATGTAAAAACTAATGTAGAACCTGTAGTGAGATTCTTACAATTTATTGCTAACTCTGGACACAAATCTGAAGATTTGGCAGATGCAATATTTATGGTGATTGGAGAAAATGAATTAGATATTAAGAATTGTCGAGGGCAGTCATATGACAATGCATCAAACATGTCAGGTGTGTATTCTGGACTTCAAGCTAGAATAAAAGGTGCATGTCCTTATGCTATTTTTGTCCCATGTGCAGCACATTCATTAAACTTGGTAGGAGAGTACGCTGCTAATTGCTGTACACTTGGTACTGAATTTTTCAATTTTCTTCAAGCTTTATACACATTTTTTTCTGCATCTACGTATCGTTGGGAAATATTGAGTGACTACCTAACTAATTCTAAGAATAAAACAGTAAAAAGATTGTCTGATACTCGATGGGCAGCTAGACACGAAGCTTGTTCAAGTCTTTCTCAAAACTGGACAGAACTTCTTAAAGCATTGAACAGTTTTGTTGAAAATCCAATAGAAAATTCTAAGACAAAATGTGAATCAACTGGGTTAATAAAAAAAATGAATAGATTGGAAATGTGTATTCTTGTGTCATTTTGGAATGATATTTTAGAGAGGTTTAATAGTACAAGCAAGAAATTACAGACTATTGAAATTGATCTGACAATTTTTATAAACCTATACACATCTTTAATTAATTATGTAACAGATTTAAGAAATACTTTTTCACACTATGAAAAACTAGCTATGGAAAAATCTGAAATTAAAGAGTATAAAGTTGTCAGGAAGAAGAAAAGAAAAATTCCATACGATGAATCATGTCAAGGCGACACATCATTTGAAGCTAGAGAATCATTTAAAATAAACACATATTTTGTCATAATAGATTCATTACTTTCAGAGTTAAGGAAGCGTAAAAGCTGTTATGATGATATTAATACTATGTTCGGATTTTTTTCAAACATGATTGATTTACCAGTAATTGAAGTGAGAAAGAAAGCTACCAAATTACAGAGTCAGTATCCTGAAGATCTCGATGGATCATTTATAAATGAATGTATTCATTTTCATGGATCCTTAAAAAGTTTACCAGGAATTGTATCACCAAAATCTATTTTAGAATTGTGCAAAATCATCGAAGATCACAATATAGCAGATGTCTACCCATATGTAGATATTGCGTTACGTATGTATTTATGCTGTCCGGTTTCTAATACTTCAGCTGAACGGTCATTTAGTGTTCTGAAAAGAGTGAAATCATACTTGAGATCTTCAATGAATGACAACCGTTTAAACAATTTGGCAATTTTAAATATAGAATGTGAGATAACTAAATCAATTAGTTATAATGAGGTCATTGAAGATTTTGCTGCTCAAAAATCTCATCGTAAAATATAAAATATGTTAATGTTTCTTTTGTTTAATTAAATGTTTCAATTTATGTTATGCTTCATATTATATCATGTTCTAAACTTCTATGTATGATAATGTTGTTATTTTTTAATGATCATAAAACAAAGGTAAATAAATGTTAAAATTTTGGGGGCAACAAATTATATGTACCCAGGGCATCAAATCTCTAAATACGCCACTGAGCGTACGTGCCGCCGTAATAGAGTACGCGCCGCCGCTGACGTAAACAAACAAAACGTAAATACGTGATATTATCGTATATAATAATATACACGCAAATCGTATACTACGTATATTACGTGTATTACCATAACCACCGGTATTCGCAAAAAAAAAAAAAGAATAATTTATCGAAACCCAATAATAATTATTGGTCCCTGCGCCAGGCTGTTTCGGTGCGTAGAACTTCGAATCCGAACATTGCAGTCGAAAAGGATAGTCGTCGTTTATCTCTTTCCGGCATGGTGGCTAGTACAGCTGACCACTTAATTTTTCTGCTTATTGCATGGTGGTTAGTGAAGCTAACCACCTTGAAAATATTTTTTCTTTTTTTCTCATTTCGTGGTTGTTGTTGCTGACCACCATGGCTGATTAGTTCATATACCACTAGATGGCATGGGATATATTAATATTAATTAATATTAGGCATATTTTAGTTATATCGAATTTTCTAAATATATATTGGTCGAATTTAATTTGTGTTGGTTTTCCCAGAATATTCATTATCATATTATTTGTGTATTATGATTATCTTTATTTCCCTTTCTTAGTAATCTATTTTTCAGTCTAATCGACTCAATTGCTTTACATCATGTGTAATATCGTCATTTTCGGTGGTCAACTGCAATAACCACCACGCAGTTAGTGTCTGCATTTATATAATTGCACGTGACTATAAATTAAATTTTGTTTTTGCTTTATTTCACTCTTCCAGATTTTGGTAAGTTATAATATGCTTTAGTTTATTATAATTTGTAAATTACGTGGACTGTATAGGGACAAATGTTTTTTTTAGAAATGTTTCGACATACTAGAAGTTTGAGTAAAAGAGAAATTGAAAAATGTTTGATAGTTGAAGATATACCTTCTGGGTCTGATTTAGAGGCTTCTGATGAAGATCACGATGATTTCGATAAAGACCCAGATTTTAATTTGTATTCCGACAATGATGATCATTTTTCAGACGAAAATGAAATTGATTTCGCTCCTTCTACTTCTTCAAACTTAAATTCCACTTCACTAATCAAAAGACGTAAATCAAATACAAATTTTGATGAACTAGATAAATTTAGCAATGCTACATCAACTATTTCAACTATTTCACAAACACATGTTCAAAATCAATCTGTACTTATACGTCCAATAAACTCTATAAGTGTTCCAACTTGGTCTGCAGAATATAATTTTATTTTACCAGATATAATGTTTGATGATTCGCAATCAGGTGTTTGCAATGAAATAAAAGAAATGATTGATATCACTCCCTTAAAAATATTTTTAAAACTTTTTCCGAACGATTTATTTGAATTAATTGTTTTTCAAACAAACTTATATGCTACTCAACAAAATAAACCGTATAAACCTACTTCTGTTGAAGAAATAAAAATATTTTTTGGAATAAATATGGTTATGGCTATGAAGAAATTACCTAGTTATCGAGATTATTGGTCAACATGTTCCGATTTGCATGACCATTATATTTCTCCTCTAATGCAAGTGAATAGATTCGGATGGCTTTTAGGCCATATGCATTTAAATGACAATAGTGTACAACCAAAAAAGGGTGATCTTCATTATGACAGATTATATAAAATTCGACCATTATTGTCTAGATTGTCTCAGACATTTGCTGAGTGTTATAAACCACACCAAAATATTGCCGTAGACGAATCTATGGTTAAATTTAAAGGTAGGTCTACAATCAAACAATACATGAGAGATAAACCAATCAAGAGGGGTTTCAAAATTTGGATGCTTTGTGATAGTTCCTCGTACAATTTAAAATTTCAAGTTTATACCGGAAAATCTGACGTAATAGGTGCAGAAAAAGGTCTTGGCGCCAGAGTTGTCATGGATATGGTGGAAAATTTACCTGACAAAAATCATATTGTTTTTATGGATAATTTTTTTACAAGTTATGATTTATTTAAAATTTTAAAAGATAATTTTATATATTCTGTTGGAACTGTAAATGCTTCAAGAAAAAATCTACCTAAACTAAAAGATGATAAATTAATTTTACGAGGTGAATGTGATTGGAAAATATCCAACACTGGTATTGGGATGTATAAATGGAAAGATAATAAGTGTGTACATCTTTTATCATCTTTACATAGTCCTAAAGATACTGGACATGTAAATAGAAAATTTAAAGATGGAACTCATAAGCTTGTCTCTTGTCCAAAAGTGTTGATAGATTACAATAAAAATATGAACTTTGTTGATAATTTTGATCGTTTGAACAGTGACTATAAACTTGATAGAAAAAGTATGAAATGGTATTTACGATTAATTTTTCATTTTGTTGAATCTGCAATAACTAACTCGTTTATCATACATAAAGAAATTGAAAATATGCCAAAATTTACCAATAAAGATTTTCATCGAAGTATTTACAATGACTTATTGGCTAACAAAATAATTAGTATTAAAAATAAATCTTCACCGGCAACCCCAAAAGCCCGACCTTCAGTAGTATCATCAAAAAAACCAATCGTTATGGAAAGTGTACGTTATGAGTCTTCAGCACATCAACCAATTAGAACAACATCAAGGAGGTGTGCGAACTGTAGTACAAAAAAAAAACCGATTCGTTCAATTTGGACTTGTTCTGTGTGCAAAGTAAATCTATGTATGAGAAAAGATTCGAATTGCTTTCAAGATTTTCATAAAACAAAATAATTTACATAAGTTAAAAAATAAATTATATACAAATTTTATTTTTTATTATTATATAGTTTGAATTATAATTTAGTAATTAAAGTTAATTTAATGATTTCATTTTATTTGTAGTTGTTGAAAAATTATTCAATAAAACTTTATGATGTACTGGACAATTTTGTTATTACGTGCGTGGTGGTTAGCTACGCTAACCACCTTAAAATTTCAAATTACAAGGTTAAAAATTAACTAAAGAAGTTTTTAGTGCTATGATTAATTGTTTGGTAAGTATATATATTAAATGTTAAGAGGAAAAAAAAAATTAAAAAAAAAAAATTGCCGTGCATCTAAGGTACCATTTTCATTTGCCGCCCAGTGCTGGAAAGAGTTATAGAGGAGTACGCGATCAATCAACACACCAATTCCCGGAACATTTCAACATCGAACACCATCAGCTCCATAATAATGGACAGGATGTTAGTANTTTATAGAGGAGTACGCGATCAATCAACACACCAATTCCCGGAACATTTCAACATCGAACACCATCAGCTCCATAATAATGGACAGGATGTTAGTAAATATACATCGATCCTCGTGAGTTAAAATATTTATTTTTATATATAGCACAGTACTATAAATTGTTATACTCTAATTATTATAATTACTATTATATTAATTGTGTTTGTCTTGCTTTGCCTGTGAGTAGTGATTGCCTATTTGTAACTGCTATTCTATTGTTTATTAGTCAAAAAAAAAAAAAAGGGAGGATAAAAGGGATAATTCTGAGGACAAAAATAATTCATTAGATGAACATACCGTTTCACCTACTGATAGCCTTCAGCAGCCCCCTATTCCAACTTCACGGACTAGTTTAACTGTTAGGTATTCGAATCCCCAGGACCCTACTTCCGAGAGGGAAGTCGCTGATATTACGGTAGGTCATTTGCTTGTTAGGGAAACAGATTTATCGATAGCCACAAATAATTTATTAGTTAACGTATCTAATGAACTACAAAAAGTAGATAAGAGTATAGACAACGTCGTCGCAAAGACAACCATTTCTAACACAGAACATTCCGAACATACAGAAAATTCAGAACAAATAAAGGATAACGAAAACACCACAAATTTGGAACAACAAGAACTAGAAGAGAGTTACTCAAAAAATCGAATTGATTGGACTGAAGATCTAATAAGTAAACTCGATCAAACGAACCGGGAAGCCAACAAGAGGAAACCGTACAAAACGCTAATGTGGGAACTCTGACTATCACAGAAGATCAACTGTCAGGTGTTTTTGGTGGTGAATCAACTTTGGCGGATTCAATATCAATAAAGTTCAAAAAAATATCGAATTGTTTTATGACAACTGGCCGTATGATGGTTGACTTTCGAACGACTGTTTCAAATATACACCATTCTAAATATTGCAATTTCATTAAATCTGCACGATTTAGCAATACTCGACATCCATCCTGTGTTTTTGATTCGATGACAAGCATATTTTCCCCTTTATACAGCATACTAGATAGTGAAATAATTTCTGTTTCCAGAAATAAATTTCGCTTGTATTTTTGAGGTAGGTCGAGTATAAAAGATAGAATGTTCCCCATTAGTGAGAATATACGTCTTAGAAAATCAGGTGGCATATTTACATATCTCGAAGGAGTGATGACTTGTACTATGGTGTTAAATTCGTCCGTAGGATCAAATCCTACATTCAAAAACTTACGAGCTGCAAAGTCGAGTGTGTAGCTTGTAGAATCGATGAGATCCGCGGGCAGTGCTGGAGGTACATACGTAAAATTCTTCTTGTACACTTTAGCCATGTTTCCAATTGAGCCAGCCATGATTCAAATTATTTTTGAAAAAACACACACTTTAAAAATCACTAAAATTTATAGAGACGGAGCGAGCGAAAAATACGTGTTCACCAGTTTACGGCAGCAGACGGACTAAACGGGTACCGACTCCTTAGGTCAGGAGTTTCTATAATAGGTGGGGGTCATTAGTCAGAGTCTCTATAATAGGTGGGAACATTTTTCAATATTAATGGATTTTGCCGGAATGTGATTGATTGAAAAGTTTACCATAGAGTTCTAAGTATGCAGGTGCAAGCTATTAGAATTAAGTATACAGCGGTTACTAATAGCCACTTTAATATCATTAGTGTGCGACATCCTGACGACCGGCCGGGCACAATCGCATTCTGGCGACGTACGTTCTTAATTGTTTATCGATGAATTGAATAGGGATATACATTAAGAGTCCGCGACATCCTGGCGACCGGAAGGGCACATTTGTTTGTGATTATTCCTACCATTTGGCAGGAAATGTCTTTCAATCACTAATGACCAGGTGGTGTGTGAATATTTAATTGAATACGGATAATATACCTATTATTGTAAATATGCCTACTTAATGTCTCTTATAGTGAATACGTCTATCAATATAAATGGTTTTGCAGTATATTTAATTGAATAAGGATACCTATTGTCGAAAGTGTCTTTCAATATAAATATCCATTATGGCCATTATGAGTCGACGCCACGAGCGAACACGACATTTTATATACAAAAGTTATTAATGTGTGTTATTCACTAATAGTCATTTTAATATCATTAGTGTGCGACATCCTGGTGAACGGTAAAGCAGATCGTATCAAGGTTGGGTTATATTTTTGTATATTTAAGAGGGAACTATACGTTGTTAAAGAGTGCGTTATGGATGTTGTCATATGCGAGCGCGCGAAAAATTATAACAATTTATTTGATAACCGGGGGAGAACTGCGATGTGATAACGGCGGCAAAAGATAACATTTGTGATAACTGATAACATGTGATAACCACAGATATGTTGTTTTATATATCTGTGGTGATAACTTAAAATGTTTGTAGCGCACGTACATAGACTTATAATACATAGACCGCGCATTAGTGAAATATATTTAAGCCAACATATGTGCGAGAGAGACAGACTCAGACATTACTTTTTCTAGGAGATTATAAGCAATTTTATAATACTCCTTGGTAGTAATGAATTGATTACTGATAATAGTGATAACGTTACTACCAAGACACATTGTTATTTGTTGACATTATTGTCTCATTTGTCTGACAGTCCATGCTGATTTTATGTTGACAATTTCTTTTTAAAATATTATTGTGATTTGTGACAAGTAACTAAATATTCCAGTTGTAATATTATATTGACTTTAAGTTAAGATGGGTCTTAAATGTTGTGTCGATTTATGTAAATCTGAGGCGAACTCTTCTAGTAATCGATTTTATATGTAAGTTATTTCATTCTTAAATATATGTTATTGAAAATGTTTAATTCATTTTTACATTTAAATTAATAGTTTTCCAAAAGACGAGGTGTTACGTGAAAAATGGGTAACAGCATTACAAAAAGACTACAAATTTGAGGTGAAGAAAAGTCATCGCATATGTAGTAAACATTTTGAAGAAACACAATTTATTAAAAGTACTTTTGGCAATCTTATGCTAAAACCAGGAGCTATTCCAACAATATTTGTTAGTGCTCAACGTTCATTATTCAAATGCAAGTTTACCTAATATAAGTATAAAATTGTTGTATGCATAAATTATATCATGTAATTTCTTAATTTTTAGTGAATATTCCAAATATGATTGGTGATGAACATATGGCAGTTCAGTCTACTTCATATTTACCTCAAATCTCTGAAGAAGTTCAGATCATGGACTATAGTTTTGATAACAGTATTTTAGTTGAATCTGGGGTTGAATATGAAAACAATGATAATGAACACCAAATTGTAACTACACCTCAAAAATGTGCTTCTAAAAAGTATTTATTATTTTTTTTTTTTTTACAATAAGATGTTCCTAACCTAGGCTATCTACATCTATTGATATTACAATGGATGGTACATTTTTAACAATTTTAACATGATTATTAATTTATATAAAATTTGAATAGTATGATGAATTTGGTATCTAGTATAATATGTACATTAGTGATAGTTACGCCGAGACGTAATTGACTATAATTAAGTAACAGTGAACTGATATAATAATGTTAACAATAAAAAGGTATAAACAGATATTATATAATACATAACAAGTTATAAAACTTAATATTAGACGCTACGAGTAACAAATAGCTGCTGTATATTGTGTGGAGTATTAAACCAGAAGGTCATGCGGACGTCCACGTTTTAATCTACGTTGAGGCGGATGTATGTGAAGTTGATAGTGAAGTGAGCCAGAGGAGTTGAGCAGTGAGGTATGGAAGTTTTTTGATGCGGTTTTAATGTGGTCTGTGATTTCCTGGATCAGAAGGTCTTTGTGTAAGTTTGCGTTCCTTATAAACCAAGGTGCGTTGGCAATAATTCGTAACACTTTATTTTGAAAAATTTGAATTTTATTGATGTGAGTGGACGCGCATTTCCCCCAGACCGGACACGCATAAGTGAGTATTGGACGTAGAATTTGTTTATATATTAGAAGAGAGCATTTTTTCTGTATTGGCGATTTTTTATTGAGAATAGGGTATAACATAGAGAGGCGCTGATATGCCTGTTGAAGTTTGGATGAGATATGAGGCTGCCATGTTAGCTGTTTATCCAATATCAAGCCGAGGTATTTTACTGACGAGCTCCAAGGTATATTTACATTGT